TGTCATTTCACTTCAAATAAAATTATGTATGGGGACCTGCCATTGTCCTTTGCTTTAACGTTCGCCAACGTCCATACCATGTTGAATACACCGGTTCTCGTCCGATCACCGAAATTAAGCAACATCGGGCGTGGTTAGTACTTGGATGGGTGACCGCCTGGGAATACCATGTGATGTTGGCTTGCTCTTTATTTAATTTTTTACCGCAGGTTTTTTTTTTTGGTGTATTTCGTATTTTGTTTTCGTATTTTATTTTTCTTTGAATTTGAATTGTATAGTTTTTTTTTTGTGTAAGTATGTAAATGTGAGTATAGTGTAGGCTTGTAATGTTAATTCATATTTTATTATCTTTCTGGTGGTTTTGAGTGTTTCCACGGGCTACCCAAATGTCAACATTATATTTTTTCTTGAAATTTTGAATTTAGGAAATAAAACTAAGTAAATATATTTCAAAACACTTTAATGATCAAAAGAAGTTGATGCTATGTACACTATTACCCAGATTTCAGTCAAAGTTTTTTTTAAATTAAAGTAAATCTTATTATAACATACAACGTAAGCCATGAATTTGATGAAAGTATGAACTATGATTAGTAATAATATTTTTTCGTGTAATCTTGTCAGACATTCAGCGCCATCTATCGAATAGATAGGAAATCATTTCGCAAGGAGATTTTACCAATGTATAAATTGTTTTAATTGTTTTTAACATGTAGGTAATAGCCGCTTTCATAGATGGCGTTGTAATTAATATCGTGTCAAATCAGTTTTAACTTTAAACAACTTCGTTCCTATCGGGTGTCCCACGACACCACACGGCTTTTTTTATTGATCAGAATAGGTTCTTCCTTGCCATTGGTAATAGCTTTATTATTAATTTATGCAATTAACGGTCGATTTCACAACTTCTTTGCAAACATTAGTAAAAGTGAACATTTGCAGTCAGAAAGGGTTAATCTTGTTTTTAAAGCAGAAATAAAAACTAAATGGACACAAAAACCTTTTTAATACGTGTCACACATAAAGTTTTGGTACCATCACTTACAATAAAAAAAGCATTTACAGTATTCGAAAATGGACTGCGAAACTGTCATTTGTTTTTTTACATGTTCTAGTAGAATTTCATTATACATCACGTATTTAACTGCTGAAAATTAATGCATAATATTTTATTGGTTGTTCATCAAATCACACCAATGACTTCTCTATTTTACCTTCAAAAATGAATAAAATGTTAAAGTTAACGTGAGTTTATAACGCTTTTGCCGCGAAGTTGAAACTGTGTGATATGCAACGAAAATGTCTTAGATTTTTAAAACGGTAAGTTTTATACAATATTTATATTATTTTATATTTATACATTTTTTGGTAATCTAATATAGAATATCTTTTTAAAGTTGGTTTTCCTTATTTTTAAGAATATTATAATGAATAAGTACTTAAGTATCTAAACTTTAACACCTCGTAACTTTTCATATATTTCCAATATTTAAATTGAATTTAAGTTTCATTAAAATCATTATCTCAGAACATAGTTTACTTATTTGTTTAAAATTATAGCTAATTTATAAATCGATTGCAATTATTAGTAACTACTAGTGCAAAAATCGTACTTTAAAATGTCGCCATCATTCGTCGTACAGCAACAAATGATTCGTCTGTTTGTACTAGTGGTTTATTATACATTTAATACGATCCGTGTAGTGACGGAATAGGAATACGGAGTGTCACCACCTCTATTCATAATATGTGTTATACATTTGTAGGTGAGTGTACATGAATTTAGGCAGGTATATGTTTTAGGAGACGTATAAATTCCCGGCCCTGGTCCGAGACACTATGTGGTGTAAATAGTGCGTATTGTTATATGTCTTAACCACCTCTTTTTCATTTAAATACACTACTGATATAAAAATATAATAGAAAAAGGTATTTCGTACATCTTATGTTGTGCTAACTTATTTTATTTTTAGAGTTAAAGACCATTGGAGAAAACCGCTGCCTGTGATACTGACAACAAAGAAGTCTGAACGTTGCGAAGTCATAAGAGCTTATCGTCAAAGAACATTTCAGGTAAGCATATCAGGACATCAATTAGATGCTTTCCTCTGGAAAGGAGTCAAAGAGATTTATACGTAATTAATCGTACGTAAATCGTATAAAAGTTACACTACAAAAGAAAACTTTTGAACATCATATTTCCAAGTCTCAAACCCGGTATTAAAAAGGAGGAGGGTTGGTTGAGGAAAGGCCAAACTAACTGTAAAAGGTCAACGTCGAGTCTCGGGCGACGGTTAACTAACCGATCCAGCAGGCTTAACAAGCCAGCATGCAACAGAGGTAGGAAATCATCTCTGCAACCCGCAACTTCGTCTATACTCGAAGCGAAATCGGGGCCTTGGCTTAACCGCCCGTTATATGGAGGCTTTCTACCTCTTAGGTAGAAAGCCTCCATAAAACTTTACCCCAATCCTATGGTGGGATACATGCCAATAGGATGAATTACTGATGGGAAATCAGCCTCAAGCGCCAACCTCGATAGACCTGGCTCACATTGTTGTATAGTGCCTTCGCATGGGAATGTCCTCCGCAACGAACAAGTAAGAATGCAACCTAAATCCACAGAAATAGAAGAAAATACAGAATTTTCACCCTTTTAACCCAAAAATCTCCACCCTTTTATAGACCTACAAGAAATAAAAGATGAAATAAAAAATCATGAACATAAAGTCACCAATATTTGGAATGTTAAACAAAGAATTTCCAAAAAAACACTACCAACATCTTTTCAATAACAATAAACTTCTTGACTTCGTTCATGAGGAGCCGAGTCAAGCAAGTAATATGCTCCAATGCTGTCTGAACAAAATTACGGAATGGCTAGACACTTTGCGAATAAAAGCTAATGAAACAAAGTCTGTACAGGTGACTTTTACGTTGAGACGTGATACATGTCCACCTGTATCGCTCAATAGAGTTCAGATACCCCGAGCTAACGAAGCCAGATGCCTTGGACTTTACTTGGATCGTCGGCTCACATGGAAAAAGCATATTTTCACAAAGCGAAATTCATTGGGAATCCAACTGAGAAAAATGTATTGGCTTTTCAACAAAGGTCTCAGCTGACAGTAGAAAACAAACTGCTTCTGTATAAATGTATCCTAAAATCAATATGGAGGAAATGCTGAGGATAGTCACTAATGGTCCTTGGTTCATAACAAATGAACAACTACACTGTTAACTTAGAATCAGAACAGTCTAGGAGGAGATGAAATACTCGATGACTTCATAACCATCCCAACATGCTAGCAATGCAATTAATGAGTAGAGATACGACTTTCAAAAGAGGTCCACTAGAGATTCCCTTTCAGGGCAAATAGTTACCGTTCAACCAAATACAGAACATCGACAAATGTAACCAAACAGAACAAAGTTAATTAATATACAGGACATATGCCGCTGGATTAACGGCACTCCAGGACAATATCTAAACTCCATAACAATTTGCCGAATGATCTTGGCAGTACATAAGTAATTATAAGTAAATATTCAATTTCAGACAGTCACCATCAATTTCACGATTGCAAGTTTAATGGCGAAGACATTACATTACCGTCGTTATTACGATGTTATTGATGTTAAGGAAACACTCATCCTTTATTTTCCAATTATTTATCATGCGTACGATTATTTAGAACTATTATCACTGAGAACACGCCATGTCCGATGTCTACTAAACAATTAATTTTGACATGTCTAAACAGACAAAATGATAGTTTTTTTTTCTTAAAACTACAAGGAAGCAATCATGGGTTTATTTCGTAACTAAGTACAAAATAGGTGAGTTGGAATGTCACAGTATATCAAAATGCTACCTTGTTTAACAATTATTGGAGTGCTTTGTAATATCATGTGGTTTTGAATGTTACTAACTTTAAAACTTTATTATTATGTAAAATGGTGTCCAAATAATAGTACATTTTTATATATAAATGAAATTAAAGACGGCGACTGCACGAACGGCGTAGTGATTTAAGCGCTCACTGCTTCCTACTGCTGTGAGTGTTGTGGATTCGATCCACACATAGAGCACCACTTTTTATGATGCTTCATCTATGTTTTAGAAAATCCCTTGCGACTCAGACTCCTACTGCGGGAGTTGGCTTTTTAAGATAGAAACAAAAGGATGTGAAATTTCGGATACTAGAATGTATGAACGCGATTATATGAAATTATGAATAATATTAGGTCTTTACTTATGAAATTGCCGTTTTGTATGCAATAAGTGAAAGTACTTATTTTTTAAACTTTTTTATTTCTGTTATTCGAAGTAATCACCCATGCAATCGACGCATCTTTGCCCATCTTTATTGATGCCCTTCTTGTAAAAATCACCTGGACGGGGAGGCAACAAACTCTTCAAAGACATTTTGTACTGCCTCTCGGGAATTGAATTTTTTATCCCGCAAGCATTAATGCAGATGTGTACTGTGGAGAACTGGAGAGAATGATGGAAGCTTGCACATCTACAACCAGCTTTGGTCAATCGGTCGTCCCCACTGCTCCTTCACGACAACGCGCGACCCCATACTGCGCAACAGACAGTCTCCAAGCTGCAAGAGCTGGGGTTGGAAGCTCTCCCTCATCCGCCATACTCACCAGACCTTGCACCTACCGACTATTACTTTTTCCAAAATTTAGACAACTTTTTAGAAGATAATTTTCTTTAATCGTCTACAATTATTTGCATGTTCTGATTCGCAAATGCATTCGAATAATTCTATATGTTGCTTACACTTATCAAAACCATCCCTAGAACCAATATCCCTTTTCTATCAGCGCCCTTTGCCCCTTCTGGCCTGCTATGCAATATTGCCTGACATACCGTTCGTTTAAGATAGAAGAATTGTTGGTGAAAGGAAGTTTATTTGTTGCCATCTTTTCATTCTACAAAATTAAGCCATAATTATGAAAAAAAGTATTTAAATGAAATAACTTACTCAGATTCCGCGCATAGTGCCTTCACGAGGCCGCGTCCTCTCCACTCGCTGTGTGTTGCAGCGATTCTCAGTTCCAGCACAGTGTTGCAGTCTTTTGGTAATTTCTCCCACATTTTAGCCTCACGGTCAAGGTAGCCTAGCACTCGGAGGATTTGCCTAAACTTAGGATTTGGACAGTCAGCCGATTTATCTGTGTAGTCAACTTCCTAGAAAGAAAATTCATCAATTAGCCTATAACATAGTAAATGTTGAAATTCGCTATTTTCCATTAAACTAAATCTTTATAATTAATTACCTAACTTTCTACGATAATTCCTCAGTTTTTTTATATTGGTCTGTTCGAGTCATGGGTATGTAACACTGACCTATTCGAGCTCTTGCTTAGGTACACTCTTCGAAACATCTTTCTTATATTACCTATCTTTCTGTTTCAATATCCTCCTATCTTTAATTTCGAAAGATTGAAGAGGCTTACCCCCTTACTCTATACGAGGTCACTGACATTATAGATGGCCTCTACCTACCCCTTTACGGATATTTATTAGAAGATTGAAAATACATTTATTGGATGATTGATAAAATCATAACCATTCAAAAATAGGGTCTATACTAAGATAAAAGGAAAAAAATATTTCTCACTGGGAAGTTTACTAGGTAAACATCTACGACAAATATTTATCATTTGTTTCAAATTCTAATATAGAGTAATTATTCATCAAACCCATGATCTCAAATAAGATTTGCAAATCCAAATCGATTTAAAAAAAAAATCTAATCAAGGATTTTAAACAAACAAAGAAGAAGTTAATGTATGTAAACTTCTTTTTTTATTTACATACTTAAACTTCTTTTTATTTCATTTCCAAAATGTTTTTTTTTTCTATTTAAACATACAATAAAAAAAGATAATTAGCTGATAATGTATGCATTCATTAATTACTTATTTATTGTTTAACGCGCTTATTTTTTACTGTATTTTTTATCTTATACTTAAAAGTTCGTCTTGTAGTGGTATACTATTGAAAAAAAATGTAAAATAGAGAAGAAGTAATAAAAAAATTACGGATGAAATAAGATTTGTCTTGTTGTTGTAAAGTCGGTCATGTTTGTCGGAAAGTAGAAGTATCTTGTAAAAATAAAAATCCATATTTTCCAAACACTGTTGATAAACTGTGTGTCTAAAAAGGTCATGTGAAAAGATTGTAAATGTTTTATTTTTATTTTTTTAGGGATGAAAATCATGAAGTAACAGAGATTATCAGCGGCAATGACCTGTCCCGGTCGGTAGACCGTATCGAACCGTCAAGCGTAACCCTTTCCTTTTCGTCCTTCGTTTAATGTTAATCAAGTAAGGTACTGTTAGTTAACTAATAGCGAATTAATCCGAGACACTAAAAATAAAAGTATCTTGTAAAGTGTAGGACAGTTAACAAAAAAATCCCTTGACTGTTAATGGTAACATGTGTGTGAAAAAAGTCCGAGACAAAGCCTATATATGTCCGAGACATATTTACTTTAGAAGGCAATAATATTTACATAATATGTATAGTATATATATGACTATACTATGACTAAACTAAAAGTAAATAAAGAAGCACGTGGAAGCTCACGTGAGTTGTCTGAAATTATCATAAAATCGTAATACTTTTTTATCAAATTATAATAAAAAAATATATTATTCACAACGCTGAAGTATAATTTAAAATCTGGCATTGTGATTCATAGTTGATATGTTTGTTATACATGTAATTTATTATTAAACTAGCTTTTGCGCGCGGCTCCGCCCGCGTGTACGTCGGTTATCGCAGTAAAAGGTAGCCTATGTTACTCGCTGATAATGTTGCTTTCTATTGCTTTAGGCGTGAAAGCTAACAGACTAACCAACAAAGTCACTTTCATATTTATGATAAAAGTATTTATATAAGTATGGATTACATGTGAATTAATTCACATTTAAATACACCGTAGGGAGTGCAATTTTGGGGTGCGTGGTCCGGAACCTCCTTGTGGTGCACCCTGGGCAACGGGGACGGCAGCGCCTCTCTCCCTAGGTGGGGGAGGCGCTGCCGCCTGCTGCCAATTCCGGCCGAGGTGGGAACGGCCCGTCAAGGGCTGTTCGGAGGGCTGCTTTACGCGTGTCCCTCTGTTTGGCAGAGGGCATAGGGGAGAGCGGGCTGGGGGCGGACGGGTCCACTGCAGCTGGCTCTGTCCAGAGGTTGGGGACACTGGTCTGACGCAGACCACCGTCCGGCCATGTCGTAACCCTGACTGGCAACAGTCAGGAATGACGGCTCTTCGAGGGCTACGAGGAAGGCAACCTCTATAAAAATCCTGGGGCGGACGGACCCGGTCTGGTGCAGACCCCGTCCGGCCCAGCCGTAATCCTGAATGGACAGGACCGGTGGATCTTCGGATCCGCGAGGACGTAAACCTCTATAAAAATGCTCTAAGCCCACGTTCTGACGCCTGGCAAGGGGCTGAGTCACTGGAGGGAGTCCAGTGCCGAAGGCGTCCCCGTCGAAGGACGTTAAACTTAACATTATGACATGGGCCCAAAGATTGATTAATCTACCCAGGAGGGTACCAGACGCACTGCGTCTGGAGAATCCCTCCCGGAGCCAGACGGCTCCGGCAGCTCCCAAACGTACTCTGGGGGGAGCAACCTTTGTCTAACCTGCCCGTTGCCGAGCAGTAAATCCGGCAACCGAAATTACGCGGAGGACGCAAGAAACATGGAGATAGTGTCGAACACCGACACTGCCTCGGAGATGAGCGGAGCGAGTACCCCTATGGTCTCAGCTGCGGAGCAGCACCAGAAGGGTACTCCAAAGCGCAAAAGGCGCTCGCTTCGCCTGGGCCTGAAGAGGCAATTGGAGTCGGCCTCGAGCGATGAAGCCTCGGCTCCCAAAGTCGGCACAAGCCGCAGAGGCGCTCGCGGCGGAGGCCGACTTCCTAGGGTTGCCCAGGAGCAGAAGAAGGAGCCCCTACGCTCCTACACTCCCGTGAAGAGGGTCGCGTCCGAGAGGTCGACAGACGCGACCGAGGTGAGGAGCGAGAGGGTGCCGGTGTCCTTGGACATCGCCAACGCGTTCAACACTATGCCCTGGAGCTGCATCAGGGAGGCGCTCGTGTATCACGAAGTGCCTCTCTACCTCCGCCGCATAGTCGGGGCATATTTGTCGGAGAGAGCCGTCGTCTACCCCAGTAGGACCGGTCTCAGTAGGCGTGAAATGTCGTGCGGTGTTCCGCAGGGGTCGGTGTTAGGGCCACTCTTGTGGAACATCGGCTACGACTGGGTGCTTCGTGGTGCCTTCTTGGATGGTGTCGCCGTCGTGTGCTACGCGGACGACACACTCGTGACGGCGCGCGGCAAGACGCACCACGAGGCAACCCTGAGGGCCACGGCCGGGGTTGCCCAAGTCGTTGAGCGTATCCGGCGGCTGGGTCTCGAGGTGGCTCTGCACAAGTCCGAGGCCCTGTTCTTCCACGGGCTTCGGAGGAAGCCGCCTTAGGGATCTAGCCTCACGGTAGGAGGCACTCGCATCGGCATCGAGCCCTCGATCAGGTATCTGGGGCTCGTACTCGATGGCCGATGGGACTTCGGATATCATTTCCGAGGTCTGGTCCCCAAGTTGGTTGGGGCAGCGCGTGCGTTGGCGCGGCTGCTGCCCAACATGAAGGGACCCGATGACTCCTGCCGGAGACTCTACTCGGGGGTTGTGCGGTCCATGGCCCTTTACGGGTGCCCGGTATGGGCGGGGGCCCTGAAGGCCAGCAACGTCGCGATACTGCGACGACCGCAGCGAATGCTGGCCATCAGGATCATAAGGGGGTACCGCACGATCTCCTTTGAGGCGGCGAGTCTCCTGGCCGGAACTCCACCGTGGGACCTGGAGGCGAGAGCCCTTGCGGCACTGTATCAGTGGCGCAAGGAGGCGCAGGAGTTGGGTCGATGCCCCGAGATTCGAGAAATCGATGACCGGAAATCCCATCTCCGCCAGGTCATCATAGGGGAGTGGAGGGAACGACTCGGGCAACCGAGGGCACGCCGTCATTGCGGCGGTAAGACCCGTTATGGAGGATTGGCTCGAGAGGCGTCACGGGACCCTCTCATACCGATTGACGCAGGTGATCACTGGGAAGGGATGTTTCGGAGATCACCTGTGTCTGATCCGCAAGGAGCCAACACCTGAGTGCCACCACTGCGATGGCCAGACCGTGGACACGGCTCTCCACACGCTGGCAGAGTGCCCGGCGTGGGTTGAGCAGAGGCGAGACCTCGTGGCGGCCATCCGAGTGGGAGTTCTCTCGCTCGATAGCCTGATTGCGGCTATCGTGCGGAGCTAGAGTGCGTGGAACTCTGCCGTCTCCTTCTGCGAGCAAGTTATGCTCGCGAAGGAGACGGCGGAGCGGGACCGGGAGAGGTTTAGAACTCTCCCGGCCCGCCAGGCCCGGGCACGGGCCAGGCAGCGCAGGCGACTCAGGCGCCGGAGGTCGCAGAACGACCTCCGTCCTCCATAAGCGCAGGCCTGGGGGTGACAGGTGAGGCCATCTGTCACCCTAGCAGAAGCAGGCCGGGGTGGCGGCGAGCGCGTTGCGAAGCGCGCTCGCTTCCAGGGAGCACAGGGAACATGGGGTTCCCACACGGGGCGGGGGTCGTCTACTCGTCTGTAGATGACCCGAGGTATGTCGGGGCACCAGGGCCTTCCTTTCTAGGGTATACCTGGTTCCCCGGCTATTAGTACCCGGCGAAGGCGTGCGGTTTTAGTCGGTTCGAGTCCGACATGCCACCGATAGGTGGTATCCGAGGGGATTTCCGCACGGAAAAAAAAAAAAAAAAAAAAAAAAAAAAAGGGAGTGCAATTTTAGCTAAAACACATGCTTCAAGTTAAAATAAGAAATACACACTAAACTACTAATGAATGTAAAGCCTTATCACAATTATTACGACCAATTATTATATCTGATTCACTTAAATTTCGTTTTTTTTAGTCACAAATTGAAAAGTTATCAATATATTGTACAAAATGTTCATAGAATAAAGTTATAGTATTTAAGTCGTTATACCATAACGACGTAAATACTCAGCATATTTAGGAGTACCGATATCGAGTAACATTTCATTTTCTGTTATTTCTAATACATCGGAATTACAAAAGTGAACTATTGTGAGTTTCATGAACCCTTTTTTTTTTCCGTGAGGAAATCCCCTCGGATACCACCTATCGGTGGCATGTCGGACTCGAGCCGACTAAAACCGCACGCCGTCTCGGGTACTTATAGCCGGGGAACCAGGTATACCCTAGAAAGGAAGTCCCTTGTGCCCCGACATACCTCGGGCCATCTACAGACGAGTAGACGACCCCCCCCTGTGTGGGAACCCCATGTTCCCTCTGCTCCCTGGAAGCGAACGCGCTTCGCAACACGCTCGCTGCCACCCCGGCCTGTGGCACTCAGGCGTTGGCTCCTTGCGGATCAGACACAGGTGATCCCCGAAATATCCTTTCCCAGTGATCACCTGCGTCAGTCGGTATGAGAGGGTCCCGTGACGCCTCTCGAGCCAATCCTCCATAACGAGTCTTACCGCCGCGATGACGGCGTGCCCGGCGCTCGGTTGCCCGAGTCGTTCCCTCCACTCGCCTATGATGACCTGGCGGAGTTGGAATTTCCGGTCATCGATTTCTCGAATCTCGGGACACCGACCCAACTCCCGCGCCTCCTTGCGCCACTGATACAGAGCCGCAAGGGCTCTCGCCTCCAGGTCCAACGGTGGAGTTCCGGCGAGGAGACTCGCCGCCTGAAAGGAGATCGTGCGGTACCCCCTTATGATCCTGATGGCCAGCACTCGCTGCGGTCGTCGCAGTATCGCGACTTTGCTGGCCTTCAGGGCACCCGCCCATACTGGGCACCCGTAAAGGGCCATGGACCGCACAACCCCCGAGTAGAGTCTCCTGCAGGAGTCATCGGGGCCCTTCATGTTGGGCAGCAGCCGCGCCAACGCACGCGCTGACCCAACTAACTTGGGGACCAGACCTCGGAAATGATATCCGAAGTCCCTTCGGCCATCGAGTACTCAGGGTTGCCTCGTGGTGCGTTTTGCCGCGTCACGAGCGTGTCGTCCGCGTTGCACACGACGGCAACACCATCCAAGAAGGCACCACGAAGCACCCAGTCGTAGCCGATGTTCCACAAGAGTGGCCCTAACACCGACCCCTGTGGAACACCGCACGACATTTCACGCCTACCGAGACCGGTCCTACTGGGGTAGACGACGGCTCTCTCCGACAAATATGCCCCGACTACGCGGCGGAGGTAGAGAGGCACTTCGTGATACACGAGCGCCTCCGTGATACACGAGTGTTGAACGCGTTGGCGATGTCCAAGGACACCGCCAACACCACATCGCCCCGGGAAACTGCTTCCTCCGCCAGAGCCTTCACGCGCATGATCGCATCCACGGTGGAGCGCCCCTGACGGAAACCGTGCTGGTTGTCCGCCAGATCCGGCCCCACCATCACGAGATGTTTGACGAGGCGCCTTGCAATCACTCTTTCAAAGAGCTTGCACACCTCGTCAAGCAACACTATGGGCCGGTAGGCGGACGGTGAGTCCGCCGGGCGCCCCTCCTTTCGGATGAGGACCAGTTTCCCCGTCTTCTACAATTGCGGAAACTGGCCCCGCTCGAGGCATGCGCTGAAGAACCCTCGCAGTCGGGGCTCGAGAGCCTCGTCGACTAAGGCCAGGGCCCACGCTCAGCCAGGAATGCCATCGGGTCCCGGGGCGGTGTTTTTAGCTTTAAGCCTTAACACCGCCACCCTTAGTTCCACCCCAGTGATCTCAGGCACGTCGTCGTCATCCACGTTAGGCGCCTCAAGCGCCGGAGGCGGAGCCATCTGTGGCGGAGTATGCTCCACCACTCGCGTTGGGAACAGGGAGCCAATGACCCTCTCAAGCAGCTCTGGCTGAAGACACCGGGTGAGCAGCGGGGCCCATGGGCGCATCTTGCCCCTAACCATACGGTAGGGGCGTCCCCACGGATCCCGCTCCGGTGTCTCCAGCATCTCGCGGCGGGCCTCGCTCTTGGCCCGCTTTATCGCTGCCTGAAGGATCCTCTTGGCAACCCTGTACCCCGCTAACAGCTCCGCCTCTCTCGCTGCCGCATCTTCGGGGCGGCGACGCCTCCTGCGGAACCTGGACCACTGGCGGCGCGTGGTTTCATAAACCCTAGCGTCACACTCTCAAGGATTAACAATCGAACGAATAATAACGAATGACGTTTGAAAAGCGTGATTTTTAATACTTCCCTCACGTGCTATAAATTCGGGTCGGTTACAAATTTGCAAATAGGTATCTCTAAATCTGTAAACGCTAGTAGTTTATTGCAATGAAAAAAAGCAAAAAGCCAATATATTAAGGAGATTTATGAAATAGTTTTAAATACGTAGTACTAACAAGTACTTACTCCCATAAAATAAAAAAATAAATGAAACAGTTCAAAACTAAAACCAGGCTTTCCATGATTATTGTTTCTAATTACCTATAAGATAACAGCATAAGACGTATTGAGTGGCCAGCACGTAGTCTTGACCTTAACGCCATCGAATATGCTTGAGATGATCTCGGACGGTGTGTCAAGCAAAGAATCACGCTACCACTTAGACTTTCTAAGCTTAAATCTACATTGATACAGGAATGGGACAATATAGGTACCTAAAACATCGGCTCCGAAATACAGCTCCAGTTGTACACATCATTTGGACATAATACAAAATGTAACTGAGAAGTGAATTAAAGGAGATTTAACTTATATCTCACATTATTGGTTTATAAATCTTGTTTACAGATGCATTTTATTACTTAAACTTTTTAAATAAACTAAATTAAGCACTAATACACACGTCAAAAAAGTCTAAGCAATACGCATTATTTACAGAAGCTGCACGTTATTTTATATTTTTTTGGATATTTAAAGTAGATTGGCATACAATCATTTTTGTTCTCGGAAACATAATATACTGGCTGATTTAAAAAATGTAAACTTTGATTGTGTGTGTGGTGTTTTGTTTTCATTAAAATATTTGTGTTCCGATTTCATGTGTTTCCTTGCTTGATAAATTTGGTAATGATCTCAGTTTTATCATTTTGAGATATAGAGATTTTGAAACAAATGAGTGGTGAGACAATTTTTATGTCATGGAGCGACGCCGTTTGACTGCTGATGAAATGCAGAGAGCTGTAGGAATGCTACTAGCGGGCAGAAATCAGTCCCGTAGTCAGGTATCTCTGCATTTTAGTGTCAATAGAAGCGTGATTTGTCGTCTTTGGCAGCGTTATGTTAATATAAGGGATCCTGCTGAGCAGCACCTAGTACGTAGAAGGAGTACAATTTCTCGTCAGAACCGATTTGTACAACCGACTGCAAGACGTCAGCGGATATTAACCGCCCGGGGATAGGTTGAAATCTACAATTCTCAAGCGGTGTTGTTGTTACCCACCAAACCATGAGGAATAGGCTGCATGATACGGCCTACTAGGATATGCCCACCTATACGCCATGGGATTGCCATTGCGCCCATGGAAACGAATGGTGTAGGGAACAGTTGACTAGGACACGAGCAATGAGATAAAATTATTTTAAGCTGAATTAAGGTTTTTTTTTTTGCACCAGGTAGGTCAGGCCAAGAAGGTCAAGCAGGTAACATAGGTCAGTTGTTTTTTTTAACATTAATATTGTTAAAGGCTTAGCGTTAGGCCAACACAGTTCCATATTTCAATGTGAATGTGTGACAATAACTTACGCTGCCACAACGGCCATGTCAAGGGGTATCAAGGACTACAACATCCAAATAATATCCGACAGTATGGCCGTCTTAAAGGCATTAGAGGGCAACACAATGACCTCTGGTATTGTCTTCGAATGCCACCAAGCACTGGAACAGCTCGCTACATTCAATGGGGTACTCCTCCAATGGGCACAGTAACTCACACGGGAACCGACAACGAACCGACCTCTGGCCCAACCATATCGTTTAACCAAATACGATGCTGGGTCAGGCAACGGACCTGTGAAGCACACAACCGGAGGTATAAAAACTCACCCGGCTGCAGACAGTCCAAACTGGTGCTGAATCAAGTCACACCACGACTCACCTGCAGATTGATCAGTCTTAGCAGACCGGAAATCAGAATGGTTGTTGGAACTATTACAGGACATCTAGCCCTGAACCGACAACTATTCATCATCAATGCGACGGACAGTCCCCTGTGCAGGGGATGTCTGGAAGCTGAAAAAACGGCCCTCCACGTAATCCTGGAATGCGAGGGAGTGGCCACATAACGGGCAAGTATCATTCCCGATATAAAGTCGCTCCTAGAAGCCTGTGAACGCCCCAGGAGGCTTCTGCGCTTTTGGAAGGAGCTTGGCTGGCTCACCTAGTCAACCAATCCTCGACGCTTAAAGGACCACTCTGAGTCTAAATGCGGAAACCGAAGCCCACAACCAATACCAATACCAATAGCCGTGGCCGGCTAGTAACTGTGTCAGTGGGCAGGAGAGGCTGCCATGATGCCTCTCGAAATAAACAAAACTAGAGAGTGGACTTTAATTTCTAATTTTGATGTTATGATATTATTAAATGTCATCTGCGCTCCACAACGCAAATACGAGTATAAATTGCCAAGAGAATCTGTTGAAAAGGCGATTGCTAAAAATAACTGACATTTTATGCGAAGATAATCATAAAGACTTGAAAATTTTAAGTTTATAAAGCCGTTTAAGATTTAAATTAAATTTTGAACTTTAAAACCTCGATGAAACCGAGAAACAATGTAATAATACTGCTACTCAAATTTTATTTATAACTATTTCTGCAAAAACTGTCATAGGTATCGAGTATTTCTTTGTCTCTAACATGTTACGATGTATTTTTAAATGTTCATACCTCCTTTCTGACGATGCCGTTGACGATGACACCAACGTACTCTCCATCCTCATCAACTGCTGCTACAGACACTCCGTCTTCTAGTGAACTAGCTACATACTCTTCGAGTTCTAAGCATACCGATTCTGGTGTTTCTAATAAGTTCACTGCCAAGTTCATAGGTTCGTCCCGGAAAAAGAACCTGTTAAAAACCCGTTTATTAATTTACAAACACAAAATAAACGTCTACTAAATGCAGACTACGATAAAAAAATATGTTTTAAGTAAATATGTATTTACTAGGTATAAATGGTGTGTCGCGGGGGACTTTACAAACCTATATGAAACGGACACAAAGAACACCCTGACACAAAAAACAACAATTTGTCGATAATACAAAGTGTTGTCCACGTGGGGATCGAACCCACAATACTTCAGCGCAGTAGGAAGCGGCGAAGTGACCGCTTAAACGCTGACCGCCATCCCTGCAGTCATTAAATATTTACAATATATTGTGATTTAAATTAATAGTCACTACTCGTATTAGATACAGGATCTTATAAAAGATAAAAAATATAGACAAAAGTCTACAGTTTTAAACTGAAAGTATTATCATCAACAGCCTTTTGTAGTCCACTGCTGGACATAGGCCTCTTCTTAGAAATACGGTTTTGGCCTGCTATGTAACGCTGGCCAGACAGGTTGGTTTAGGGTTTGTTTCAAGTTTTCCTTCTATGTTGTTCAGCTTCTTCTGTGTTGGGCGGCCCATACGACAATCACGAGATGAAATAAAAGGATAGGTTTTGAAATTGTCTAAATTGAGCTTGATGTCTAAGCTTAACGACCCATATAGGCAGGAAATTCAAAGTCAGCGATCGCGGGTCTGATTCTCGCTCAGTTAAATATATGAACTCGTCTAGATGTTTCTGTATATAATGAACAAGTATTCATATATCCTAATACGTTTAACTATGTTCTAGACACCGTAGTACAAAACACGTACAACCTATGCTTAGTTTTGTCGGAGATTGCCGAACATTAAAAAAAAAAATAACTATACGCATTATTGTTTCTCGTTTGTCTGTTTAAATTTATTATTCAATTATAGTAAGGAGGGGCATATATACACTAAGTAGGAGTATATATAGGGTGTTTCAGTAAGAGTGCACTTTTTCATTTTAGAATAAATACACGTATTTTATGAAAGAGTTGTAATATTTTTATTGGATTGTAAAGTAGACATGTTCCAATTAAGTATGGAATAAATGTAAAAATATCCGTCAAATGGCCCCCCACGGCTCTAAATTTTCCATGACTATCCATAGAGATGTGGCTGTATCTCACCGATGACGCGTTGGATCTCTGATTTGAGCTCAGGAATTGTTTCTGATTTATTCGTATAAACCAGAGATTTCACAACACCCCAAAGAAAACAATCGGACGAGCTTGGTGGCCAGTTGACATCAGAATTTCGTAAGATAATGTATTCTGGAAATCGTTGCTGCAATAAGTCGATTGTTTCATGCCCGGTGTGGCATGTGGCGCCGTCCTGTTGCAACTACATGTTGTCCAGATCCATGCCACCCAGTTGAGGCCACAAGAACTCCGTTATCTTATTCCTGTAACGAATGCCGTTCACAGTTACTGCAATTTCGGCCTAATCTTCAAAAAAGTAAGGCCCAATCACGCCGCCTGACCAAAACCCGCCCCAAATTTGTCAATTTTGTGTATTTCACGTAGCCATTCAGATAGAAATGCACTTCATCGGAAAATATGACTTTTTTCGAAAAATTGGCATTGACTTAATTTTGCTCCATTACTCATTGAACGAATTGCCGGCGCTTGCCATGGTCTGCTGGTTTGAGCTCCTAAGTTAGCTCAATCTTGTACGCATGAAGGTATTTTGTCAAAATTCGCTGCGTAGTGCTTCGTTGAAATTTGAAGTTGTTGAGAACGATGCCGAATTGATGTTGTGGGGTTTTCGGTGATACTCTCGTATACAGCAGCAATGTTTTCAAGAGACCGACCGGTACGTTGACGCAAAAGATTCTTAATATCCATAATCGACTCAGTTTCTTCAAATTTTTTGACCACTCTTCGAATGGTTGACACATTAGGTGCACTTTCTCGACTGAACCTTTTTGAAAGTTTGCGAGTGGTTTCAGCGTAACTTTCCCCAATTTGTAATGAGTTTTCACAATTATAACGTTGTGTTCTTACAAAAGCGCTCTATTTTTAATAATCGGAATAAACATAGGTGACAGATGTCAAATTTTAGAGTTGACACTTGCACGAAAATAAAAAGATTAAAAATTCAAAAAGTGCACTCTTACACCCATTCTTTACAATGTCATGAATCAGTGCATTAGTGAAAACATATTAAGAAAGTCTTAATGTCATGCAAGGGTAGTAGAGATAGTCCAATATGTTACTACGGGCTTACCTTCTCAAAAACTTAAGCATTCGCTGTTTATCGTTGAGGTTGTCTTTGATAGTGCAGATGGTGTAGGAGGGCTGCGACATACTACGCAGATTGAGTTCCGACAGTTGCGACGGCAGCTCGTCGGCGAGCTAGAAATAAAGAAAAATCGATCTAAGCCTTGTTTTCTCTATTAACAGACATTTAGAATCAGGAGGCCCATTTTCATAATACAAACAATCATCTGTAAGTCGTCATTAGATTTGGAATAGTTAATGTTGGTATCCAGTATCCTCACACTGGATACCAAACTCACTAATTGTCTTGGTTTAGCATAGTCATAACTTATTATGTAGGTAAGTAGGAAAGGTGAGAAAGAAAACTTACGTTTTCATATATCTGGATGTAGCCTGATTCATGCTGAATGGACTGTAAATATCTACGCAAAGCTCGACGAGCACAAAATATCTGTGGAAAAAGTAACCTATCGTCTGCAGTATAACTACTCGTAGCATTTCTAAGGAGTACTGTTACAGTAAAGGTAACAAGTTAAGTTAACATTAGGTGTATAACGATTTGGGGTGGCGGCGAGCGCGTTGCGAAGCGCGCTTGCTTCCAGGGAGCAGAGGGAACATGGGGTTCCCTCACGGGGGGGGGGGGGTCGTCACCTGTTGTTGTAGATGGCCCGAGGTATGTCGGGGCACCAGGGACTTCCTTTCTAGGGTATACCTGGTTCCCCGGCTATTAGTACCCGAGACGGCGTGCGGTTTTAGTCGGTTCGAGTCCGACATGCCACCGATAGGTGGTATCCGAGGGGACTTCCGCACGGAAAAAAAAAAAAAAGGTATATAACGATTTGGCAGTGAAGGTTAGTTTATGAGCAATTGACGTTACCGTTATTCAATATAAATGATGGTTTTTAACATTGATATAATACTTTAACTCAATGGTTTTTAATAGAAAATAGGGCAAGTAACGCAGATGTAGTAATATTAATTTGTGTATAGTAGTTTTAAATAAGGATAAATATAAATAATTCAAAGTACAATTGCTAGAGAACACATTGTGTTTCGCCAGAGGTTATGGAATGCCAAGGTGTGGAGCCTAGATCTAAATGGATAAACGGTTTTACGACAGCCTTGTCTTTAGGGAGATTTAATTACGATACAAATTTATTGTTTTCTTTGTATTTCAAACAAATTGTTTTGCTTACAAAGTCTTGGTCTAAATAATAATTAATAAAATCTAAATATTAATAAGTGTAGAATATTCCTTGTGTCCGTTTGGATTGAGGAGCCACTTTTCATATCTTAATAAAATTAATATTATTTTTTAGTAGTAAATCAAAAGTAATAAGTGTAAAACATTCAATATTTAAAATGGTGTATATTCTATTAAGTTGTTGACACGTTTATAACTGTATAATTATATCCTTGAATAATTAATCGCCATAATCCTTGATCTTGATTGCGTTGAAGGCAGAGTGCAGGCGTTGCATACTAACTAGCATACTAATAATTATATATTTTGTATGCTTAGACTTTGGCACTACAAAACGGTCAAAGCGCATAATGCAATTCATTTTCGGTTTCAAATAAACCATATTCGTTCTCACCTAAATCACAGAGCAGGTTCCTATTGTTATATTGACACAGTTTTTATATAATATTTTACATAGAGGAACCTTATTAAAAAATATCGATAGTTAGTGTCCTTGGATGGCGATCCGATACTGCCCCTAAAAGGATCTAGGTTCCGATTTTTTTAATGGAAAACTAGAAAGCAAAATATTACGAAAGAATGATTTGTTTCGTAATGTGTGCCTTGTGCCTTTAGGCGTATCTTATTTATTCATGCCATCCGCGTATACTATTTATTTATAACTTGGAGGACCAACAGCTTTGACAAATTTGCTTAGCGCAGAGGTTTGCAACAGCAAACCAGTTACTGATCCCCACGTTTAGTTTAATACATAGTTATTTATACTTTGAGCAAAAGCACGCTTTACAATTTGAGTAATCGACGTTAATATAGGTACACAGTTATAATACTAGAAACACCTTAAGCGCTGTTTGTGACAACAGAACAAGTCTAGATATTAAATTAAAAATAAACCAAAATAACAAAAACACTAAATATAGGCATAAATTTAAGATAAGAAATCAGTTGCGTTACGGTACTCGTATGCGATAGACGCGGTCGGGATTATAGTAAATACCTACTCAACTTTCTTTCTATTACCTGCGCCCGGCGCAAGGTGACCTTCGGCCGGCCGGCCGACTGTTGCTTAGGTTGCGGGCCGAACGATGTCTGATTAATCGAATAAATACATTATTTCTTGCATAATGGAGGATGACAGCGATCACAATAAAAACAAGTTTGTTTATACAGATATGTTATCGGAGGCTGACCTAATAAGCGAGCAGGATATGCTAGAGGATTATACGGATCAAAATCAGGAAGATATTGGGATGAATAAAGAAAGAAAATCAGGAAAAAGGGCAAGAGATGAGGCAGACGTGGAAGAAGACTGGACAGTAGTGCAAAGAAAAGGGAAAAAGGCAAAAGATATGATCGAATTATATATTTCCTGTAAAGAAATGTTACCTAAGCAATTCGCATTGGCGAGATTGTTCAAAGAGGAGGGTATCAAAGATATAGTAAAAATAAAATATATAAACTCTTATAAACTACGGGTTGAACTAAAAGATGAGACGATTGCTAACAAGTTAGAGACTTCCGAAACCTTCCTTCAAAAGGGATGGAGGATCAACCGAGCTATGGTTTTAAATAGTACTTACGGAGTAATAAAAAAATGTTGATATTGATATATCTGATGAAACAATATTCGAGAGTATTTCTTGCCCAGAAGGTGTGCACTTACTTTCAGCAAAACGTCTTAAAAAACGGAACAAAGGCGCCTCAGCAGGTGAAGAATTGTGGATCCGGAGTGAAGCGGTTCTATTATGCTTTAAGGGCTCATATATTCCCACATATATCTTAGTAGATGAGCTGCGGATAAGGGTGGAACCTTATATATTCCCAGTGACTCAATGTAGTAAATGTTGGCGGTTTGGACATTTGAATAAGACATGTACATCTAGGCAAGTAGTGTGCCCAAAATGTGGGGATAACTATCCTAACTGTGATAATGTAACCTTTAAGTGTGTTAATTGTGGTGGAAATCACATGGCATTAGTCAGGTCATGTCCGGCGTATGTTAAGGAGAAGAAGATCAGAGACCTAATGGGTCAATTTAACTGTACATACCGAAAAGCCCTGACAATGTACGTGCCTCCTAGCGTTTCTAAGCACGGCGATACAGAAAACATCACCGAAACAAAAAATTTTACTCCTGTTAGTGAAACTAATTACTGCAATATGCCCACATACGCTAATGTAGTCAAAGCTTTGTCACATCAAAAGGAACCGACAAGACATTTCAGTCACGGAAATAAAAAGAAGACCTACAGTTCGAGTACACCAGGAAGTCGTTTATCATCAGAACCTATTTTAAATGAAGGTGATACAGGCGATCCCCTTAACACAGCCCCGGCAGATAATAAAAGAAGAGAAGTTAATTTTGAAGAATTACTGTCAAGACTTAAGGAAATTATATTTTTAAATAATGTTTCGCTACAATCTAAGTTCCATAGTGTTATTAAATGTTGCGTGCAGTGGTTAATTTTAGTGGTAGTTGATAATATAGCAGAGTGGCCAATATTAAAAAAAAATCTAGATTTAATTAATGTATAAAACCAAAATAACACGTAATCTCAATATTATTCAGTGGAATGCACAAAGTTTAAGTCCCAAATTAACGTCATTTGAAAATTTGTTATTCCAAGAAAGGATCCACATTGCTGTCCTAAGTGAAACATGGTTAGAGCCGGATAGCCCCCTGCACATAAGTGGGTACAACATACACCGCATGGACAGAAACGATGGTTACGGGGGTGTAGCTATTATTACACACTCTTCCATCAAATCACAGCCACATATTATACAAATAACAAATACTCAAATAGAAATAGTATCCATTAAAATTTTTAATTGCCCAGATATAAATTATATATACTCAATTTACTGTCCTCCGTCAGTGCACATTACTCGAAATGACTGGGACGAAATCTTTTCCAAGTGCAGCAATAATACGATGTTACTAGGAGATTTAAACGGACATCACAATAATTGGTCATCGAAAACTAATTCTAGAGGTACGCAGATCCTTGATACATTGCTAGATCACCAACTCATAATATTAAATAACGGCAGTCCGACGCGAATCAAGCTGGCATTCTACAACAATCAGCCCCAGATGTGTCATTAGTATCCTCTGACATAGCATTAAAATTCGACTGGGACCCGTTAAATGAAACTTTAGGTAGTGACCACCGTATCATAAGAATGTCGTCAGATATGGGGGTAAGTCAAAACAATTTTATTCGTCGAAACTATAAAAAAGCCGATTGGGAAGCTTATCAAGCGTTTTTATCTGATCACTTTAAACATTTCATCTTTTCAAATAATTTACAAAAATGTTATGATTTATTTATCGAGTCTATTAATTTAGCTGCTGATTTACATATACCATTTATAAAAATAAATAAAGACCCTAATACTACATTTAACCCTAAACCTTACTGGAGTGCGGAATTATCTAAGTGTGTCGCTGAGCGTCGACAAGCGTTAGCGAGACTGCGACGTAACCCTACCCCCGAAAACTTAGATATATTAAAAGACAAAATACGTATAGCGCAGAAGTCCATACGTAACGCTAAAAGAGCTTCGTGGCAAACGTTTTGTTCCTCTTTAGGCGAAACTTGTTCCTCAAGTAAAGTCTGGAGAAAAATGAAGTGGCTGAAGGGGTACAAGTCTCGTGGAACGTATATCGATCAGGTAAAAGCCAAGCAGCTTCTATATAATTTAACACCGGACTTCGTAAGAAATTATGATTTGTCTTTTTCTTGTGATAACCCTGAGTTAGAAGTAAGAATTTCTTATCACGAAATGAACAGAGCTATTCGAAATAAAGATACCTCACCGGGTCATAATAATATTTCATATTCCATGATAAAGCAGTTACCGGAAAATGCAAAGCAAATGTTATTATTATTATTCAATAGTTTTCTTGAAAAAGGGTTCGTACCTAAACAATGGAGGGAAGTAACGATTGTGCCAATCCCTAAATCGGGCCGTGATCCGAATAGTACATCATCATTGAGACCAATATCAATGATTTCTTGTGTTTGTAAAATATTCCATACCATACTAATGAATAGATTAGAGTGGTTTATGGAAAAAAATCATCATATATTATGTCGATGTCAACTACAGGCTTTCGAAAGTGTCGTTCTACAATAGATAATTTAGCAGATTTAGTTTTAAAGATACAAATTGGGTTCTCTGAAAATTTAACAACCATAGGTTGCTTTATAGATATCAATGATGCATATAATAATATAGATATAGTAAGTTTGTTGCATATAATGGACCGTCTAGGGGTGGGACATAGAATGTGTACATATATTTGGAACTATCTTAAAGAAAGAAATCTTAATATTACTTCATACAATTACTCCGTGTCTCGAATGACGGGACGGGGATTGGCACAGGGTGACCCACTCTCTCCACTATTATTTAATATTGCTACTGTAGCCATTTGCAAGGAAATAGTCAATGTTAGTGTTTCACAGTATGCTGATGACTTTGCGTTGTACGTAACCGGCAGTAGTGTATCACACATGGTACGAAATTTACAGCATGCACTAAATTTACTTAGTAATTTACTCGCAAATATTGGTCTTGACATATCGGAAACAAAAAGTAAAGTCTGTATTTTTAAAAGAGGCTATAAGAGAGAAGTAATTGATCTCAAAATTAGGGATATATCGTTGGCGGTTGCGGACAATGTAAAGTATTTAGGGTTATGGCTAGATCGCTCTTTAAGATGGCATAAACACATTAATGAAACAACTGATAAGGTAATGAAGTTTATAAACATTTTTAAGGTACTTAGTGGATCAAAATGGGGTGTACATACTATCCATATGAGGCGATTGTATATTACTTTAATTAGGAGTAGGTTCGACTACGGCAGTATGTTATATGATAATGCAAGTCAAACTCATATCAACAAGCTAGATAAATTACAAAATATCTTTATGAGATTGATAGGGGGATTCATTAGGAGCACTGCTATACACATCATGGAAAATGAACTCTGTTTACAACCTTTACACATACGTAGATATTACTTGGCTGGGAAATATTGGCTTACATCGAAATCTTTTACAAAAAATAACATTATAGCTTTGTTAGAGGAGTTACAAAATTTTAGCGATAATACATATTGGAGAAACAGGAAAATAACTCTGTTGGTTTCTATACATGAGTATCTTAAATTTTTACCGATACATTTTAGCTCACAATTAGACATGTTTTCTTTGAACACTTGGGTCACCTATGTGGATCTTTCTAAAAATATTAAATATAATATAGAAGATGTTCATACTGCAAAGCGGTTTTACACGCCGTCTAACCTAAGAGAAGTTTGTAGTCAATATATCAATCAGTACTATGGCACATGGTATAAAATTTTCACTGACGGCTCGAAGGACGGTAGCAGGGTTGGAGCAGCGTTTTTCGACCCACAAACAAACTCCTCTGTGAAACTTAATATAAAGTGTAATATGAACATAATGTATGCAGAACTTGTTGCAATAAGTGAAGCCTTAGCATATGTTGAATCATTTCATAGCGGCTATTATGTAATTTTGTCAGATTCGAAGAGCGCTCTCCAGCATCTGGCTCGGTGCTCCTCGAAAACTCGAGGGACCCCGATAGCCTATAATATAATGCGTTCTATACAAAATCTAGACATGAATAATAAGAATATAACACTGCAGTGGTTACCTGCACATATTGGATTGACCGAGAATGAGACAGTTGATAGATTAGCTAAAGAATCTCTCGTTGATGGTTTAGATTTTGCATATTTGCCATATTATTCTGATTTATTGTATGTGGTTAAGAATCGCTGTTTTCAACTATGGTCAGAATATTTCGATAAAAGATCGCTAACTAAAGGTATTTGGTACCGAAGCATTCAGCCTACTATACATAAACATCCCTGGATCGATCAAGCCAATATGATCAGGTCAGGCATGATCATGGCTCTCAGACTTCGTTCCGGACACATCCCACTGAACAGCTTTGCACATTTAATTGGTAAAGTCGATTCCCCCAACTGCTCATTATGTAACAAAGTAGAAGATGTACACCATATTCTGATGGAGTGTCTCCGGAACGAACCCGAAAGAAAACAATTATTTTGTGAACCTAACTTTAATATTGGTATATGTAATAGCATTCTCGCGCTCCCCTTCTCGGAGAAAGCGAGAGCGCTGTATAATATAGCTAAAATTTGTATGCTTAATAGATTTTAAATAATGTTATCCTATGAGGGCGGCATAATCACTTCGTGACTAAGCACTCGTTAAATCAATAAAGAGAAAAAAAAAAAAAAAAAGATAAGAAATGGGCTAGCGTTGCGCTTGTAGTAAATAAGTCGAAGTCATATTTTCTTGCAAGCTCTCGCATTAAAGGCTTTACTTGCTCGCGGAATTAAGGAATTCTGTCTATAATGGGTAGAACAGTGAGGGACATGTAAGGGTTGTATACGTCTTAGAAGTTTCGGTGGTGCATTAAAATTTAGTTTCTTTAAAAGCTCGGGACAGTCAATTGCTTTAGATGTTATTTTTTAAATGTAGCAGATATCTGCAATATCTCTTCTGTCAGATAGAGGCAATAAATTAAATTGTTTGCACAAGTTTGTATAGTTAGAACACGTAAAGGGGATTTTAAATCGAAAATATATATATATTTTATTGAAATTTAATTTGGATTCTTTCAATTCTTGTGGTGTGGCAGTCGTATTGTGGGTTCCATATTTCAGATCCATATTCCAAAACACTTCTTACAAAACTGCAATAAAGGATTTTCCAGGTCTTGGCTCTTTCAAAACAGGCCGAGCTACGAAGAATGAAGCCAAGAGCTTTAGACGCCCTGGATATAATATCATGAATATGCCTTTCGAATGAAAGCTTAGAGTCGTAGGTCATACCTAGATCTCGTACATAATCAGTTATGGGAAGAACTTGACCTTTTATTTGCTGTTTTTTTCGGGTAAAAGTCACCACTGAGCATTTGGAGAGGTTAAGGTCTAGCTTGTTAATGTGGTAATAATTATCTAGACGCATGAGATCAGACTGAAGTCTCTCCACATCACCGGCCGATTCTATAGTAGCAAAAACTTTCATGTCATGGACAAAACATAAAAGCTTAGAATGCTTGAAGCATTTATCGATGTCATCGATAAATATGATGAAGAGGAGAGGATTTAAATACAATTATAGTATAAGGAACAAAGGGATGAGTTAGGCAAGTTTCTTAAACGTATTATTTATTTAGCGGACACAGTCACAGACTCAATTACTAGGGACTAGTCCACTAGTAAATCAAATCCTTAACACTCATTTTTTAAAACCAGGGCTACCCTAATGGCTCCTACCTGCTCAGATTTAGATAAATAATTACAAAACTAAACTAACCTTACTTTTCTGCTGTATAGCTTCTACGTCAGAGGCGGACAGGGGCGCAGCCCCGCAGCAGATGTGTCTCACATTTCGGGAATGTTCTTTATTCACGTCAGGATGCTTACCAAGAAGAATGGCTGAAATACAGTACAAACAGAATGTATGTTATACTCGATACTTTATGTGATTTTTACACGCTTTATATTAGCGTCAATTGTATGTTTGTATATTTGTTTGTATGTTTGTTTGTAACCGACTGCTTTGGGCGTGATTTTGACTAACTTTAAACGATCAGAATTCGTTCAAACAAAAGTTTAAAAAAACTAAAAAACACGCTTTTTATAGAAAACCAAACTAAAAAATAGAAAATAAATTTTGAAAAAAAGCGGGGTGTGCTTTTTACCATTGACAACAGGCACCCAACGCTTTTTTTTCAAATTTCCCATGGTTAAAATATAAAAAAATAATGCATAACTAAAAAGGTATTTTTTTAGTAATTACTAATTATAATCAAATTATGTAACACATAAAATTTTGCCGTTAAATACCAACAATACATCAACCTTTATCATCAACAATACATTAGCCTTTGCCTATTTTTCTGCTTAAGTACGGTGGAAATACAATATGAATCCATCAACTTATCAACAGGCGGCACGATGTAAAGCAAGCTCGCGCGTGAATTCTTCAACGTCTCCAAGTACAAACTAGCTGAGAACTTAGACATGGTGAGCATCTTGCATCCTTGTGCGAAGTGTCCTAACAAGTTCACGACTAGACCGTAGATTTGGAAGAAGGGGAGGAAAGACGGAACCACATCTTGTACGTCTCCTGGAAATTAGCGTTGCGTATGAAAAATTACTCCAAATTGCGTTCAAACTTCAATTAACCCACAACTAGTGTGTTTATTTAGGTTATTACGATTTTTTTACTTGTTTTTACGTAATTTCAAATTTAACATGCCATGGTCACATATTTCCACTTATCATCATGATAACAATATTGAACACTGCAATACTTCGGTCTACTAGTTTACAACCTATTAAAGAGAAATACTTCATCTACGTATAAGAGGATAATGAGGTAAAAATATGTTACGTTGTCTTTTTTATTCAGCCGTTGCACTAAACACAAACACTGTTTAACAGACATATTTCTATTGTCTGAAAGATAATATTTGATTGTTTGTAAATATAGAACTGCTTGGAAACATAACGGTGATAACTCGTTTGTACGGTTTGTGTTCCAAAATTGAAACTACATAGCTTTGGGTGCGCTCCGTTTTAGATTACACAGAAATTATCCTGCCATACCTGGTGGACTTAGAATGCATTTTTAAATCCCTTTTGTGGGATTGTGCGGTCATATTCTTGGTTGATATACGAGTATGTAATTTACGTGTCTATCGATTAGGTTACACCGGGCGTGATTTTACCAAGACGGGGTGTCTTGGTAAAGTCACGCCCAGTGTAACCTTGTCTCTTCCACAGAGAGGTGTAACAATAACTTCTGAGTTTTCTTAATGAACAAAACAACATTTAATGTATTTTTTATCATAATACAATTCATTCAATCATTTTAAAAACACTGTACTAATTGTATTTTTCGAGAATTATCTGATGTTTTCTAAAGATACAAATTAATAAAGTACCTATACCCTAATGGTGTTCCTCCGATGGATCCAAGGCATAGCTATTCACACTACAATGCCAGGGGTGAGCTAGTAAGGGATAAATGTGTAAAAGTTGAGGCAGATCCAACTACACTGTTTCGTTTGTCTTGAGTAAAGCAATGGACATGTGGAGCGTACAATAATCTTTGGACCAATACAACGGGCCTTTTACAACAAAATAGAAAATAACTCACCATGTGTTAACACCGGATAACATACTTCCTTCTGGTGCATTATCTCGAGACTCGCCAACAAATTTCCATATGTAATCTCTACGCCTTTAGGTAAACCAGTGGTGCCGCTCGAAAACGGTATGCAGGCTACTTCGTCTGTTTTTTTTTCTATTTTGTCCAATAGCTCGTAATCAGCTGCACCAGATTCAGCAATCTCTGAATATCTGATGGCATCATTGGGTACTGGATTAGCAGGATTGTCGATTAAGATAATTTTTATGTCTTTCTTACAATTCTTCAATGTGGTTTTGACTGTATCGTAACATTCTTGAATCGTGACTATAGCTTTTGGCTCCGTAATTGAGATTTGATGAGCGATTTCAACTGTAATAACAAATAAAGAACTTTTTTAGAAAAGTAATTGGTAAAATGTTTATTTCAAAAAGACATTTTCATTAAATGTGGTATGGGTGATATTATTTTATTAGACGTCATCATCATCAACAGCCTTTAATAGTACATTGCTGGACATAGGTCTCTCCTTAGAAAGGAAGGTTTGGCCTTGTATGTTACACCACATTGACCAGACGGGTTAGTATAAGATTTGTTTCAAGTTTTCCTTCTCTTTGCAGTGCTGTCGTCCTAAATATTGTTTTTGCTTACAGACGTGAAAATTTTATTATTAATATTTAGAGCAAACACCAACTAGGAATAGAGAAAGCAAAATGTACGCTTATCTTGCGTATCCTAGATTCCTAGGTGTCCTGCCTAGAAAAGGGTGACATTCAAGGGTTTGAAACGAAACCTACTTATGAAAACACAATAATTATAATTGTCATATTTAAATGAATATCTTTGTATTTATATGGAGTGTTTTATAACATTAATATAATTTGGCATCTTGAAATCCTCTCGAAAGAGGACTCACATTATTCGGTATGAAGACTCGTAATTAACGCACGCGTTATAACCTTTTCTAATGTATCATTTTGTTTTAGCATCGTTTCTCTTTCAGATCTAGGTACCCAAACAGAATATCACTATTTTTCAAAATATTTTTTCTCGGTCAGGTCTTATGGTCTTTTCGATACTACAAATTTTGTATATGTTGTACAGTATAATGTATCGTTTGAGTAATTAAAACTTACTACTGCAGCAGCATTTATAATATTAGCGAGGATATTAATTATTGCTAAGACAAGTTAGCTAAGAGACTCAGATCTTTCAGACTGTCCCAATATTAGTGCCTTCATACCAATCTATCTATAACGGGTGAACCATAGATCGTTTTGTCCCTTCTAGCAAGAAATCCAAGTAGGTAGTTAGATGGAAATACTAATACTTCTAATAGTATACCAAGATATTTTAAAGCTAGCCCCGCTGTATTACCCGCAAATTTTCAATTCCTTACCATTACTTCGAGATAAAAAAAAGCCTTTCTGTTGATCCAGTGTCAATTACATCCATACCAAATTTTATCAAAATTTCTACAGTCGTTTGAGCGTGAAGAAGTGACAAACATAGAAACACACATTCACAATTTTTCGTCTTTATAATGTTAATGTGATTTTAGAGTTAGTATCTACCCGTAATAGAAATAATTTTATTTGATTGCACATGTCGTAAATGCTTTATTTGTACAGGTTATTATTGATATCATTAAATTTTAATTGTATATTCCTCTGTAAGTGGTCGCGTGCGGCCGTTAGACAGAGAAAGAATATTGTTTTGTCTTGCATCTCTCTCCTCTCTGCATTATATCTCTGCGGATACTGAAGAGGGCATTTAAAATAGCCAATCAGTGACAGTAAGTGAGAGTAGAGAGAGATGCAAGACTAAAACAATCTTCTATCTCTCTCTACCAATCGTTAGCGATAGCACCTTGTTCGCTTCCTCCATATATGTATATAAGCTCTTTGGGTAACACACTTATAACTCTTGCGTTGCAACCTACGAGCATTTAATAAGTGCTCGTAGGTTGCAACCCACAAACACTTCGTCGTAGGTTGCAGGTGTCCAAGTGCGGCGGTAGATACTTACCATCAGGTGACTAGCTTGCTTGTTTGCCCATGTCATAATTAACTGTAGTTTGTGGTCCTGTTCATTAGTTGGTGATTGTTATCGGAGGTCACAGTTTGAGTGTTAACAACAATGAATAAAGGTCACGACATCACGTGTGCGTAACGAACGATAAATATTTACTAGTTACGGTATCTCAGACGCCTGGCATACGTCTCAGTGAATTTTGCTATCGATACTTATATTATAAACTAGCTTGTGCTCGCGACTTCGTTCACGTGGAATTTAAAAAGCGCTGCCTTAGTGAGTTCCATTAACGCACCGGGTAAAATTTTATAGGGTTTTTCTGAGAAAAAAAATACCCTTCGTTATTCCTTATATATACAGCTACCTGGTAGTAAAATATTAACAAAGGCGGTCTAGCCGTTTTGGAGATTACCCGGAACAAACGGACAGACAAAAAATATTTAAACTGGTTTTTATTCATAGGTCTTCTGCAAATACCCGCGTGAACATGAATAAAACCTATTATTTTGACGGTACAAACAGACACTTTAATTTTATTTATTTGTATGGATGTGAAAGTCAGTTTGTTTGTTTTTTACGCTTTCAAGCCTAAACCCATTGGGTTAAAACAACACTAGAGAAGCAAACCTCATTATCACACGTCGAAAAAAGTGTAACCACTTTTGAACTTTGACGACGTAGCTTTGATGCCACTAAACATTTGAAAGTAATCATATTTATGTCTCATTTACACGCGAGACAAGAACAATACCATCGCTCGGATTAGACAAAGACAAAGACATAACTTTACGATGGTGGGTGGATGGTGGTAAATTTTTTTAAAATAATTTTGTAATAAAATAAATTAATTTAAATATTCTAAATAATATACTCGTATTTCGAATTGAATAGAATAGGTATAAATTAGACTTGCAACGAATATTCGGTTACTATTCGGTATTACGCCTATTGGGCTGCTTTTAACATATTCGGCCGAATACCGAATATCTACATATTATTCGGCCGAATACCGAATACTTAAATAATATATTTTGTCATTGAGAAATAATTGGTAAAATGAAAAATTAAAATCGATTGATTACGTATATATTCATATTTTCATTTCTGTTATAATCATTTAAGTAGTCATTGGTGCATAACACAGGTACATAATCATCTTCTGAATAGGAAAAATGGAGGATTCTATATATTTGAATTATTGTGGTAATCACAATTTAGAAAGGTAAGGTTCTCATTTCTTTTGTAATCATTTATTAAGTAGTCATTGGTACATAAAACAGGTACATAATTTAATTCACGTCTGTACAAGTTTTTGGCGCTAAAATCCAGCCGAATACTTTTGCCTAATATTCGGCTATTCGGTCAGGGGCCTCGCCGAATATTCGGTATTCGGTATACTGCCGAATATACTATTCGTTGCAAGTCTAGTATAAATAATAAAATAACTGGTAATATTTGGTTAAAAGGGTTTATATAGGGTAGATTCCTGGGTTTAAAATAAATTATTTCGCCTGCATCGTTAAATATAACATCTCAAAGTAGAACCTGAATTGTCCTCCATTATCAATTTAATGTCTTTATTGATTTGATATCTTGATATCAACATTAAATATAAATGATTTGACAATAGCTAGGTATGACGTCACGAAATAGTATTTCATACAAAAATGTACCGCGTCTAGCGTTTTGACGTTTAAAAAAAAGTTACTGATTTGACTTGACAGTCATCTACCCTATTCAGTGTAAAATCAAACTGCGCTGTGAAGCATCAGTTTTGTATACAATTGTCTTTTAGACTCTTTTTTATAAGTTTATATGGATATTTTACTTTCATGATACAATCTTATTTTTACGTATGTAAAAATAATAGCATTTAATAATAAAAGTGAATGATCAACTTGTACTGATAATAAATAATCCCCAGGGTGTATTGCAAATTCTTAAAGTTTTTTTTTTATTTATATTTTTTATTTTATTTATATTTAATTACTTTATTAATTTTTTATTTTTATTTTTTATGATAAACATTTTTTTATTATTATTATTTTTTTGTACAATTATTATTTAAAATTGATAAATAATTAAGAAAAACAATGAATTAATTCTTTTGTACAAAAGTCTCCAGCACTGCGAGCTTGGCAGAAGGTGAACGTTCAACGGGTCCCTAAGAAAAGTGATCGGTCCAGCCCTAACAACTACCGTTCTTCCTATATTTTATTATTATTGGCAAAATGTTTAAAAACAGTATGAAGCATATTATTTTATAAATTATAAATTCTCCCACTAATGTGGGAAAACCAAAATGATTTTTAATGGTAACACTGATTCTAAATTACAATTATCAATGTTTTATTTCAATTATAGCCTTATTTACGATATTATCAATACAAAAACCATAAACTTACACGTGAAAAGTAATTCCGCATGATTTATTATGGTTTTGTGACCTTGAATCGCATTCTTTCACTACGCATTTACCCATTTTGGCGATTGTTACTGTCATGTGTCGCTATGTTCAACTCGGTTAACGCCACATTGAACACTGAATTGACGTTTGCTACGCATATGGCTGTGGACAGATGTGCAGTAGCAACGATTTTAGGCGGTAATTACTCATCTATGTAAGTATTATATCAATGCCTAAACCATTAAACCGATTTTAAAAATTATTTCACCAATGGGAAGCTTCATTATTAGAGAGTAACATAGGCTACTTTTTACCACGATAACCGACATACACGCGGGCGCAGCCGCGGGCAAAGCTAGTATTATACATGTACTAAATTTAAGTCCCCAATGTTGTTCGTATGTTAGTGTAGATTTATTTTTTATATCTCATTATTGTCCGCCATTTTCAGTGGTGCTTCGGACATAACTAGTCATAATAATGAATATTAACTTATTTTTATTAAACAGTTAACTGTTTTATTATCTGTTATATAGTTAACGAAACAAATAAGAGTGTATGATGTGGCGATAAAACTTTGTATTTACCGACGATAAAAAATGTTAATGCAAGTTATTTAGGTACTGAATTAAAAAGGCAATCACCGGCAGATAGAGTTTAAATCCTACCCATTGTCATGTCTTTTTTAAAAAGACAACTCCCGCATTAGTAATGTAGTCTAGAAGACTCTTCAAAATAGCCTCAACGTACTGAAAATGCCGAAATCTTTCTGAATACCCTCATCATAATTTCACATTATTCCCTTCTCGCGCACTTGGCTAACGCAAGTGTCTTATAATTTGCAACCCTTTTAAAATAAAAAACACAGAAAAAGGAATAGTAATCTTTGTTCTGCCCCAAAAAAGTATTAATGGTAATAATAATAAGATTTTTACATTTTACACACGTCCGTTAGATCAAAAATTTTGCAGATCCTGTGTTCAGACTGCTATAAACATACTCGTACATAAATATTTCTAAATACATACCTATTTTAAATAAAACTCATTCAGACACATAACAAATGATCGTACTGGAAACCTAACTCAATACTATAAGTAAGTAAGGTCAAACAAATACATATCTTACATTCTTTATAAATAGGGTTGACGGTCGTCAGCACAACACCAGCTTGAATACTCCCAAATGCAACCACAGGGAACTCAGGGCAGTTAGGTATCATAACCGCTAAGACATCTCCTGGTTTCAGACCTAATTTCTTCAGGAGGGATGTGGCGAACACAGAACTGTATTTCTGAAGTTGTGCATATGTGTAAGTCTTCTTGGTTTCGGCGCATTCCTGTAATAGAATAAAATTATTAGTAACTTGTGTTTAAGAAAAAAAAGTGTGTGTCAGCTCCGACGCACGACTGGAGTTTACTCGTTAAGAACGATTCGGCTACACACAAGTATACAAGTTATACAGATACATGTGAAAGGTGCAGGCACAATAGGTTGCGCACAAAAACGTAACGAGGTCATTCGATCACAAAATTTTACTCTTCATATATTTTCATACCGGGCGTCTTATATGAAAATCGATTATTCGAAAACTCTAAAAAAGTTCTTTTAGGTAAGGTAGGCAAATTAAACAAAAGTACAAAGCAATCTATATATTTGTGTGTAAAATGTGTTGGGAACCAGGGGACCCAAAAATGGTTAAAAAACTGATTTCTGTATGTATTATTTTTGAGCAAGTTTTGCATCTTAATATTCTTTGAAAATTTATTTAACAAAAACATAATTCGAGTTAATTTAGGTTAGATGCGGAACAGGACGACTCTTTGAATTTATTGACGCCGTGTGGTGCACGCAGTCAACGGTGCTATTAGTTACTGACGAATTTTGTTTTTGATTGCTAAAACTAAACAAACTTAAGAGATATACAAATTAGCTAGCAAAGATGTTCTTTGAACTGGTTGGTGAAGAAAACAATTTGAATGTCAACTAGCACACAATCATACTTTACCGCCATTCAAGGAGCCCTGACCTGTTTCGTGGTTCAATACTTTACGAAGTAAAGCAAATCAATATATCAAAGCATTCATGCTTGGAGACATTAATTAGTAGATTTATTTTTTAAGTGTAAGTAAGTAAGTACTATTTGTTAAGTGTCCATTTTTGATCTCTGGCCTTCATTCTCAGATCAATATATTTGACCTCGCTGTACAAATACAAATTTTAGCAAAAAAAAAACACGAAAATCGAATATTAAAAAAACCATGATTTTAAAAGAAACTACTAACATAAAATCTTAATACAAAATCGTAATCGTTTTCCCCCATGAAATATCTACAGCGTGTTCACAAGAAGAGCTTACTCATATCTATTTCTGTTGACAGTCTTAACCCATATATGCCCAGAACTATTTTTGACTTCCGATTCTACTAAATTTTGAATATGTTTGTAGTAATCAATCACTAATAACGTTATAACTAGTTTCATGAAGGTCGGAATTGGTTATGTACCTTTTTTTTAATTGTTCGAAAACGAAACATCGGGCACTTCCCATACATTTATTATGAGTAAAGTAACAAAAACATTTTTATCTATTTATTTATTTTTAAATGCCATATTCATAAATCTAAACATACAAACAAACCAATATAAACAAAATTTAGGTACACATTTGAGGAATGCATTTAGGAACACAATTTAGGAATATAAAACATTTAGCATGTAAGTTTACCTGACACTTTTGACATGAAGTAATCGTGTGTCTGTCTGTCTTTCTATCTGTTTGTCTTTCTGTCTGTCTGGCTGTCTGTTACCTTTTTACGCTTAAACCACTGAACCGATTTAGAATGAAATTTGGTACAGAGATCGTCCGAGTCCCGGGAAAGGACATAGATAGTTTTTATTCCAGAAAACATCCTTTAAGGTGAAAAGCGGGGTGGAAGTTTCTATGGGGAATCAATAACCACTGAACCGATTTAGTTGACATTTTTTTAGGCAACTTTAACAGAACTTTTATGATTAAAAATTGCTTACCAAAGAACAATGGCGAATTCGTAGTTGAGTATAATTTGAGCGTCTTAAAATGTCATTCACAGGAAACTAATTCTAGTAAATATCTACGTTTTATGAAACTATCACCTAAGTCAGTAATACCCCAGGAAAAGAAAGAAAAATATTATAAGCTTATTTGATTGTTTTAATATACTTTATCAGTTTAGTGTTACCATTTTATAGCCATATTTTTCATGTAGTGGAAATACTGTCCAATAAAGTATCATAATATGGTAATCACTTAATAGTAATATGGTAATCAGATAATAGTTTTATAATTCTAAGTACTGAATCAATAAATAATATAGTTTGTGCTGCGTTATTAAACGCATTGTTTACGAATTTGAAAATCCTGTAGTGGAATATAAGGAAGTAAAAAAAAAATAAAGTGGCAACTGCAAGCTGAAAAAAAAGCAATGGTTTTTTGACAACTCTTTACAGATGTTTGCGCTCTGTGTTTAAAAATAAAGACTAAACGTCGGACACGAATGGCCGCCGCCGATTATATTATTTTAGGTTTTGAATTTACAATTCATTACATGTTGAAATAGGTAATAAATTAAGGAAAAGGAATATACTTATTGGATATTATATATGCGGTACATCCGCATATATAATATCCAATAAGTATATTCAATAATATACAATCATATTCCAATTAAATAAATATACTTATGTATAAGATGATTATTTCATGCATCAGACACATTAAAAGTGACATAAAAATATAACCTACGAAAGTTCTACAGCTAGTGGACTAAAATAATTCTTTATTATCTTTTTTTTATTAAAATGCCACATATTATACAGTTATAATTATCAAAAAGTTATGTAAAGTCGATAGCCATAGACAAATTAATAAAATAATTTAAACATTAAGTACCTAGCTATGTTATAAAAGACTTTATCTATGGACTCTTTTAAAGACAGTCCATAGATGCAGTGCGTAACTTAAAACATTAAATGCTAATATCTTTTTTCCTACCCTTTTCCAAACAAAACTTGTTTTTTACGTAGATTCTAAAAAAATAGCCGAATTTTTAAATATTTTTTTCACTACAAGACGGTAAATTTGAATCCAAATTTTTTTTTAAATGGAGAACCGCCATTGTTCTTTAAGTTTTCATAAATGACAAGATCTGACGAAAGCTGGAGCACGACTTTCGGATAGTTTTTGACCAAAAACGGAAACTATTTAATTTTAGTAACCAATAGTAGTGGGTAGAAGATGGGTACTAAGCGGAGAGAAGTTTACGACGTCCCTCGGGATAGGGCTTAGTTAGACGCGGTGTCGATTCGGGAGGACCTGTATAGGGGGTCTTAACTTTCTTTAACGACAGGCGTTTTCCTTGGCAAAAGTCGTAACAACTTGTACGTATCTCCTGTCATGTTCAGAAACGAGTGGCGTAGTCGTTTAAGCGGTCGCCACACCGCTTACTACAACGCTAAGTCTTGGTGTTCTTTGTGTCCGTTTCATGAATGTTTGTTAAGTCCCCCGCGACACAGGTAATATTTCTAACCCTAGCTAAGACTAATTTGGTGTAAAATAAGTTGATTATTTTTCAATTAACATAATTATTAATTAAGAACGTTCAATGGCCCTTTGTTCAATACATGGTTTGTGTAGGCACACAAGTACTTTTACTAACGTGCTTCAAACACAGAGAGAGTGGGAAAATACAGTGTATGATTTTAGTTGATGACTGTTAGTCTGTAAGTCTCTTTAAGACAATACAGGATGTAAGGGACATAACGAATACTGAAATAGTGTATTCAGACCATCATTCTGACTAGAAAATCATTGGAATTTTCTGCCAGAAAATTAAACGTTTTATGAAATCAGCAAAGGGTAATGTCATTTCCCGTACACCCCCCTTACGGTGCCCCTTACACCCTTTATATTGAAGCTACATTTGTTACATAACTTGTCCAACTTGTTAACAGTGTTTTTAATTTATTATTGATTAATAAATGTCGTAATGGAACCATTGGATTAAAATCTTATTAAATGAATGGCTACAACTCTTAAAACCTTTAAAAATATATAGACCTTGCTTTTTATATATATTTTAATACCGGCGCAACTTCGTCTACGTATCTCAAAAGGAATATTTTTTCCCCGTTTTGTAACATTTTTCCTTGATGCTCGAGTCCCACTGTATGTACCGCAATGTTGCGATAAATAGGTAATCCAATTGGTGGAGTTGGAAAGAGGTATAATAAACCTCTCTATATATTTATTACAATTATGTTTGTTAAATTTATTTTAAATGTAATTCATAGATGTTTCCCTGTAAAGAAACGTACACGGTCACCTACAAGTGACTCCTACAGTCATACCCCAGGCACGGTTCGAGTGATGAGACTTACCGACTTGAAACAAAAAATACTTTGGACTCTGAACCCAGCACTAACAAGATTGAACTGAACTGGATCATAAAAAAATATATTTTCTTCGTTGATTAATTTATTGTTCACTTGAGCATAAAGGCAAACAGTCTGTTTATTTAGGTTGTACTGTACAGGTTTCTAAGTTCTTTTTCTAAGTAAGTTTATAGCTTTTTCTTGTTTTAACATTGACACAGACTATCTGTCGACGTGCTCCATATGAATGTGATGACGATATGATCCTGAATATGGTGGCAAACAATTACTGTACAGTAGTAAAATATTGAAGGTCCTTATAGCCTAGAGATTGGTTATCCTTTCTAGCCCTGGGTTTGATTCCGACTCAATGAAAGTATAGGTACTGGCTCGGTTGTGCAGCGGTAGCATATGCGACTGCTGTTCTAGGGTCTCGGGTCGGACCAAATGTTTGTATGATTTGCAAATATTTGTTTTGGAGTTTGTCTATGTATAATATGTATGTACTTACAAAAAAAGTATATAAGGATTCTATCAGTCAATCTAGTTTTCATAGAAACTACGAGCTCTGTTTAGTTTGACACTAGATGGCGTTGTGTGTCGGATGTCAGATGTGATTTTTTTTTAAAATCCGAAATTGTGACATGAGTATGATCAGTATGTATGATCACTCAATATGATTAGATCGCAAAAAGGGCTATTTAGAGCTACAAAAATGTGTGTGTGTATGTTTTTCTTAAGTAAAAATGTGGTGTGGCTAGTATGTTTATTATTATTATTATTATTTCTATTTTTTATGTTTCACTTCATTTTCTCTTGTATTCGTTTTTTTCTTCTTAATCTTGTTTTCTCTTCATTGTCTTTTCACCTTTTAGTCCTTAATAACGGACATACTAGCACACATCAAAACAATGTTGTGGTATATTT